CAAAGGGAACGCATTCAGGTGCAAACTTCAGAAAAAGATTTACATTCAAGAACAGAGGGCATCTTACCATCAAAATCACAGGATAACGACAAATACAAGAAAAGGTGGAGAAAATTACCTTCGATTCTCCAAATTTTGTAGTTAGCCTCATGTACTGGTCACGTGCTTCTTGATCCCGAGCCATGGACTTGACTCTTGCTAGAGCTTTCTCAACTCCATGAACTTTCTGTTGTCGACCAAGTCTTAAAAATTCATATTCATCACCTATCTCTATCTCTGGTGCTGCATTTTCAATTGATTTTTGCACACGAAATCCTCGTAGACCAGCACCTTTACGCCTCCATCGTAGGATTACCTTCTCAACTATACTAACAGACCAAACAACCTTTTTATATTGTTTCCGAACTTGATGTCCCCTCACGTGAGCCTTAAAGCAATAATAAGCAAAATGAATTTCTGAAGACTACTATATATCCAGAGAATAAAAGAGAAAAGTGGAAATTTTCAAAGCAGCTTGGGAAACTTATTATCAAGAAATCTCCTCTACAGTCTCTATAAGCAACAACTTATTTTGAAACTTTATCATCTAGAAACATACGTAATATAAGGCATATGATTAATCTCAATTACCTGAATTTTCACAATTCGATTTCGTATCTTCAAAAATTCCTTCCTTCCCTTCCAGCCACGATACTTCTGTTGGATCTTTGCAGCTGCAGTGTGCAAATAGTCCCCAAAATGACTCATCTTTGGAAGCCTGTTCAAAGACCCAAGAAGACCTAGTTCAAGTGAAACTTCGGACATCTCATCATTGCCTTTAGTTAATTGTCTATCCCGGAATGAAAGAGCCCGAAAAGCAGCCTGAATTAGAGCAGCTGCATGAACTGATTTTCTAACAGCAGCAAGGGACCCTTTCAATGAGCATTGCTCATCTAATGCCCCATTAGATGGAGCAACTTGAGCAGCAGAATCACTGGCCTTTTGTGCTGCTGTAGTTGCAGCATCATTGCCAACCACATTCTCGTTAACAGTCAACGAAGAGAGATGGGTGATCAAGTCAGCTTCAGCCAGGTATCCAGCAATTCCTTTGTGTCCCCTCCTTGATGCTAAATCAGCCGCAGTTCGTCCACCAGGGAAACTTGGTGTGGGATCATCAACAGCACCAGGAGCTACACCCAGTTTAATCAGTGCGACGACAGTTTCTTCTCTGGAGAAACAGTAAGAGAAAATTGAAGAATGGTCATCAGTATACAGCCATCAAAATGATTCTGTTTTTTTCGAACTGAGGTGATTCAAGAGTAGGGATATGCAATTGGTTTTAAAACTTAAACTTTAAAAACTAAAACAAATTCATCAGAATAGAATATAAAGGGATAGTCGACATGAATTAGATATATGAACAACATGGCAAAAAACTTGACCTTCCAAAGTATGACGCCCAGTGAAGCCCTGTTCTACCTTGTGCATCTCTAAAATTGGGACTTATTCCTGCAGCAACTATAGGGCCCATTGCCCACTCATAACCAAGAGAAGCAGCCAAGTGTATAACTCCTTGACCTTTGTCATCCAGAATATGTGGACCTTTACCATCTTCATGAACTTTATATAGTAGCCACTCACAAAGTCTTTCCTTCAGCAAATTCTGAACCAATCCCTCTCTAGATTGTATACTATCATTTGCATTGGCTACTCCCATCGAATATATGTTATTTTTCAACCTACATTTATCACATTCCTCAACAGAACAATCCAACCACTTTCTCCCTGGGCCAATATCTAACAATTTTGCTAGACGAACCTGCAGGTGCATCTCCTCTTCTGCTGTAATTTTAACAGCCTTGGTAAATAAAAATCCAGGTGGCTTTTCACGATATTCAAACTCTCTTACCTCACTGCATGCCAGCCTGTTGCTGCAGGTGACATAAAATGGAACACACCCAGGAGCATGAGAAGGAACTTGACAACGAATGACATGGTTAGTCAAAACCTCAGCAGAAACTTCAATTTCACCAAACATACAGCCCCATTTCGCTGCACTAGAAAGCTCCTTGGTTTGCAAAAAATTTCCAATGATTAAAACCTAAACAAAGAAGCATTTTATTAATCAGCATGATTTCATGAAAACAAATGGAAAGTGCTTTCACAAAATATCACAGGCAAATCACTTATCTGAGCTAAATATATACCTTGGTTTCAACACCAGAATAAGCCCAGTCAGGTGAGAAATCAACAATGCTAAATAACTGTTCCTGAGAAAGAGAAGGACCCAAGGAATCTATATCCAACTGCATATGGTGGGATAAACTGGATACTTCCTTGTCATCAGTCTCAGGGTCAAGTGTATTCCAATAATTGGCAGAGTCAGAAGCCATCAGGGAATCATCACAATCTCCACCAATTTCTTTATCCATCCATCTTCCAAAGCTATCAAGCTTTTTAAGCTCTCCTGGTTCATCATTATTTAAACCACTGCCTTTGGATTCATTCTCAATTTGAGCGGAAGAGGAGGCTACCTTCTGGGGACCAGAATAATTCTGAGACAGTAGACCCATCAAACTGAAATCATACTCCTGGGGCACCTACAGGAGGTCAATTGTTACTTAAGGAATTTTCAACATACCTGAAAAAACATGTAAGTTGAAATGGATAGATCCTATGACATCATATAAGTATCACTTAACCCTAGAACAGTAATATATTAGTCATTTGCGTTTACGAGAATTGAGCTGAAGCTGCAATGGGCAATCAGACAGCATGTATACCTCCTGAGTTCTAAGACCCCAATGTCAATAAGAACTATGCAGACCACAAACTGCAGATGTCTTGTATACTGGGCACAACATACCTGAATTACTTTCTGTGGAGATTCTCCCACTGCTTGGGCTTCTACATCAGAGATTAACTTATCTCCACGTGTTACAACATCTGAGACATCATGCAGTCTCACCTCCGCTTCTTTATGTGTTACAAAGTCACCTGCAGTAGGCCGTTCAACATAGAGTTTTTGGTCTGGCATGCTAATGGTATCTGTAACTGAGTGATGGATTTCAGGCCAGAAACATGATTCACTGCTGTTATTACAATTGGATCCTGTAAACCATGAACCAGGAGGATTCCTTCCTGATTCAGGAAAACCAGAAAAATGGACTATCAGCCAATATCTTCGAAGATCCTAAAGGTTGCTTAATTAAGGACGTATTAAAGACCTGAGTTTTCAGGTGCATGATATTGTCGTTATTTCATGTTCAATTATTATTTTAAAGTTGATAATAACATATCTTTGATTTCAACAAATAATTGACCACACCTGCAACTTCAGGCTCCAATGAAGCAGTACTTGATGTCGAACCATAAATAGGTTGGACAGGAGAAGATGTACTTGGATAATCCCCCGAGTCAACATCCTCAAATTCAGAAGATAAAGTTTGCCCATTCCAATCAATTCTGCTTGTTGATGTGTGAGATGTCTGAACTGTAGGAGCAGGTGAATTTTCATGTGCTAGGGAAGGAGCTGAACCAGTTTGCAGGCTTTCACTCTGTGATCCTGGGTCTGCTAGTATGCGGGAGATTCCAGATCTGTACCCCTGTAGAGCATGCCAGCACATTATACAAAACCAACATGTGACATTTAAAAATTCAAATCAAAGTCAATTTAAATCTCTTTTGAGTTATATCATGGATACTCCATCATTACAGTTACAGGATGAAGATCTTTGTACCCTAAAGAGCATTTCTTGTGGACACAGGGTACAAAGTTTTTTGCAAAGATTTCATTTTAGCTCAATCCCCCAGAAAAAGAGAGTGAATACCTCTTTTACTTCTCTGTAATGTACAAAAACAATATGCTCGAACTGCCTGAAAATAGAAGGCTAACAAATGAGGATACAATAAAACATCGAAAAAGAGGAAGTAATTATTGATGAAACAGTATTATTCAAAATATGTATTTCAAAGGAATAAATTGAATGATGTTACACTCTACAAGAGCTACAACACAAGAGAACATGGGTGAAACAGAAACAAGAGAATCCATTAACAATGTTGCTGAAAAACTGTTTTGAGGGGTGTACAGATTCAGAAAACCACTCACCCATCAAGCATCCAATAGCAACGACGCTGAAAATTCTCATTGAATTGCCCATGTGCATAGTAACAATGAAGAACATCCACACTTCCAATCTAAAAAAGTCAACTGGAGAACATGTTACTTAAAAGTTACATGAACAAGTAGCTTCTTCATGGAAGTCTACAGAAATCAGTTTGAGATAGTAGATGTCCTTAGAAATTTATGTGCTTAATATGATAATATAGGCTCAGGGATGTAAAGGCACAATTTGATAAACTTTTCAAGCTTTTAGTTCTTTTTAAAAATTGTTCACCTCTTGATTCCATAGAATCAACACTGTATATACGTTACAAAATGGTAAATTTTAACTTAAAAGGTCATCTACTTCCATGTTAATAGTAGTTCTATACTTCTTTTTTGAAAGATGTATGTCACTGCAATAGTAGTTCTATACTACATCTAAATAACAAACAACGGTGCTCCATAGAGGATGTGCATACACATTGAGAAAAAAAATAAACAATTTACGTGAAGCTGTGCTTTTAATATCATTATTAATTCAGAAATTAAGTCAGGGCGAAACACTTATCATTGGACTCTGGGGAATTTACACTCAAAAGTTAAAAGATTGGAGATTATGACAGGAAAAGATGGCCCAAAGTTATCTTATCATATTTGATGCTTGAAATTAGAAAAATTTGCAGGGTCACATATTTCTTAACCATTATTCATATTCGTTTAGTTTCTGCCACAAACAATACAACCAAACAGTAACATCTTAAATGGTCCAGAAAAAGAGAACTAAAGCTCTGGAGCATTCTAGCCACACTGCTTAGGACCAACCTCTGAAAATAAAAACTTACTAATAACAAATTGAACAGCACACCTTCAACTTTTCATGAGCTTCTTTGACAGTTTTCCCGTCCTTCTTCTTCCTCCAATCGTGACCATCTTTACGAAAGTATCGAATTGTTTTCCGGTCAAACAGGTACAAAGATCCAGCTGAAAAGCAATTTTCAGTCACTACTTGCAAGAACCATCACAAATTTCAAGAAACAAAAAAGTAATTTAAACAAAAAAATTCTGGACATTGATTAACGAAAAGAGTAAGCATAGCATAGAAAAGATAGATAAACCATTGAAACAAATGTAGCACAATATGTATAATAAGCAGATAAGGGAATAAAAGAAAGTAGTGAAGACCTGGAGGCTTAACGGGAGGCTTGTCTGATAAACGAAACTTGGGGTAGTTGCTAAGTATTTCACAAACTTCAACAGGACGAAGCCATCGATGTTGTGCTTCCAGCAGTATCTGCTGAAGGTCTGCCACATTCCATCAGACAATCAAACAAAAATATCTTAAACATGCAACACTCAGATACGGTAAATAAATAAGTCCTGCATGAAAAAAGAAAACCATCTAAAGCAAGTCTACAAAACATTACAGAAATTCATAGAAATAAATACTAGGAATTCAAGAGCAATAGAGGGAAATAAAAAATTTGTATCTTTCATACCAACAATGGATCAGTAGTTCCAAATAAAGCATGAAGAAGAGATTCATTCAACCTTTAACATTAAAATTGGATAATATTACATGCGAGGCTGAGGGCCAGTTTTTCTTTTCGGATTAAAGGTGTTAACTTTACACTGACAATAAACTCGAACGTGTTCACTCAATAAACTCATGCAACTCGGTTTCAGTCAAAAGAAGCAATCTTCTACACATGGAAAAAAAAGGGGGGGAACTTGAATCATTAAAATCGCATTGCAATAACATATTTGGAAAGGGGAAAAGAAAAAGAAAAAGAGACCTAATTGTTGATTAGGGAGGTATCTTCTGCCTTGAGCCATTGTTAATCAAGCAAAGAACCCAGATTTCATCAGCCAACCTCTCCTCTCCTCACGATTAACATACCAAAACACATAGGGAGAGAGAGGTTCTTCAAGAGATTTCAACAACCACCCAAAAGCCTTTTTAAACAAAAAACAGATAAAAATGCAGAATTTTTTTAAAAAAATATATATATAATCGCCAATGGAGAGAGAGAGAGAGAGGCCTTTTCTTCTTATGCTGTCGCTGTCGATGGAGTGGCTGATAAAGCAAAACAGAGAAGACAGATATGGAGAAAAGAAACAAGGAAGAAGGAAAAGGAAGAACAGAAGCGCGTGAGCTGCACTGATGATAATGAAGCGTAAAAGAGGGAAGAGCCGACCGGACAGAAGGGTAAAAAAAATATTAAATAAAGTCGTCAATGACTTCAGGGTTCGTGTTCACACTCAAGTCCGGAGGAAGGAAAGGGTCGACATATTGACGTGGATTGGGTGCTGACGTGGCGACCGAAGCTTTCGACGGGTGTCTTCCCCAAGCTCGTTGCATTAAGACGCTGATGCATCTCGGTGATGGTTCCGGTTCGGTGATCGTTCCGTATATCGAAAATATCGGATAAGTATCCAACAATTTTACTGTTTTCGAGAAAGAAAATATATAAAATTCAATTGCATCCCTGAATAAAAGGGAGGAAAATTTGGGAGATAATAATCTCTTAACTAGTACGAGATTTCTTTTTAGTGCAAGAAAATAGAAGATTTCATTTATGTTTTTTTGATTTCTTTTAAAATAATTATAAAAATTTAGAAATCGATTTCGTCAATTTTTAACTTAAGAGTTTAAATTAAATATTTTGAAAAGCTAGGATGGTGAGAATTTTCTAAATTAAGCTAGTATAAATTCTGTTAGGTGGGAATTATTAAGATGTAAATAGGAAATGGACCCAAGGTTTGGAATTCCATTTGACATGGTAACACTGATACATACAGGGAGATGAGTTTCTGCTGCACAATAAAATTGCCACCCAATTCACATTATTGAATTGATTTTGGCCATTAAGTTCTGAGAGTGACAGACAAAATGGTGAGCAAATGATGGTTGCTGTCCCTGCTGGTAAATGTTAAGAGGCCCCCATCAACCCAGCTAGCTCATCTATGAGATTTCATTACACAATTATAGCAATGTCTTTCTCTCAGCATCCCATCTTTTACCTGGAAATACTAGTTATGGCATTCTAGGCTAGGATTCTAACTCCGGTGGGATAATCAATGGGACGGTTTTCTCATCATAATTACTACTACTACTACTGCAATGATGTGTTTCTTTTTGGATAAATAAAGATTCATTCATCCAAAAGGAAGCAAGAAAGAGACTACTAAAATGATGTGTTGGCAAGCAACCCTGGCAGTGCCCTGTTTGTTTGTTAATGCTTAGAGTTACAGTTGATGGAATTGCCTGCTTGCTGCTACCTTGCCTGTTAGAATGAGGAAGACAGACTTCCACCCTGTTGCATTTCTTTCTTTTTTTTTCATTTTACAACATGGGGGCTTGGTAAGTTGTGGAGGCATCTTCCACCAGAATTGTAACTAGTTGCGACAATTGGTTACCCTCCCCGGATCAGTGAATTTGGATCCCCAACTTGGCTAATACGCCAGATAAAGGCACTTCTAGTCAACAATCAGCATTTCAATCGACCCTGTTTACAAGGCAGAAGCTGACCCTGGTTTAAAGCAAGCAAAAGGCTAGGTCGTTCAACCGTTCATCACTAGATAAAGCCTACTCCAGCTGATAGCAATTAGACATTACACGTGAAAAATGCAAAAAGTGGGGCTCAGTCACTTTTCAAAGACATGCATGCGCAGGTCGGGAAACAAATTCTCACCCTTTTGTCACAATACATAAGATTCCTGGTTCATTAAGAAGATGACAGGCACCACCATATGAACATCACAAGCTCCTTCCCATCAGCATTGCAAGTTTCCATAATTTAACTAAGGAAAATCCAGAAGCTTTCTTAAGATCATACGAAAGGGTAAGACCTGGTCAAAGCAAACCTCACCGGTTCTAACACTTTCCTTCAAAAGATGGGGTCTCAAGTTCCAATCCCCTCGCTGAAAGTATCTGCTCTTCCTTTCTGAAAAGAAGGTTCACCTGTTTACCTAGGTGCATGCCAGAGAGGGGAACAGAAGGTACTATTTAGGCAATCGTTGAAAGCTAACACAAACTGCTGTAGCTAGTTCAGTTATTACAAATTCTCTAAATGTTATGGCCACATTAAATTTGAATAGCTCGTGGTATCATGATACAAACACCACAGAACTAAAGCTACAATCAGGTACAGCAAAAAGAATTCTACTGCAAAATGTTCAAGATCCTCATCTGCTTCAATCAGCTGCCACTTCATTCCTTGGCCTTGGCTTCCTTCGAAAGAAAAAAAGTAAATGCTTGAGAATCAAATCATAGACAACGTGAATAGCACCTAGATGCACTCAAATCACGAATTTTTTTTTTGTAAAGCAAGAAAGCCAAACCAATTTTGACTTTTAGCCACTGGAGTATAAAGAAAGAAAAGTGTTGACAAGAAAACTTTCTTTCTCAAACCTTGGTACAAACATAAATATAATGGACGTCAGGGTTCTTTCCAAGTACATCTTCCACTGAGCTTCCACCCTCCTCCAATGGTACAGGGTTTGTCAATTCCCTTATTGGCTGTTCAGAACTTCCTTCAGGTCCAAATTTCACTGCATGGTAGACAACTAGATTAAGAGCAGCATCTGAAAAAGATTGAGCATTACTTCTTTTACAAGATTAAAAGCCCATCGTCCATGCCAGGCTGCTATATATGGAGGATGAAACTAGTTTTCTAGGGTCAAGATTGGGTAAATCTCATGGATCCTGTTCTTATTCTGATGTGTTTTTTCCTGTGGTTAGGTTGGTTGACATTTGTAGTCTCAAGCTTTCAGGCACTAAAGTAAGATAACTCAAAAAACTTGCTGTTCTACTTATGCCAAGTGATAAAATAAACATACATTGCTGTCTGTCATCTTACCCAACTTGTGGCCATTTTTCTTTGATAACATCATTTCAAAGGAAGAGTGAGGGGAAATTGTGATCCTGTGCATCTTAATTCTTAACTAGGTAATTCAAATGTCACTCTTCCTTTTCATTATCAACTAAAAAATTGCACAGCCAATTCTGATATGTTTAAGTCTATAAACCTTGTGATAGCCAGCAGTTTGCACCCTGCGATTTTCACTTTGAGGTTTCAAGTTCAAACCTTGGGAAGAGAAGTTGAGATTATGGGATGGCTCCCATTGTGTAACCCAATGCCCACTAGTCCTTGTCATGTATCAAAAGGAATCCCTTATGTTCTCTATAGTCTATACATGATTGTAAAAAGCAAATATCAACTCTAGGCAAGATGGCTTCAACTCTTATCATTTAGTTGTCAGTAGTCAGTACCTCCTAAGCCCCACAGCAAAAGCAAAATGGCAAATTATATCGACTGAAAACTTGAAAATATAAATCCTGACACTGCATAAGGTGGGAAAATATATGATATCAACAACAGAATAACCAGAATGGGAATTCTATCAACCTATCACATGCAGTTTTATGCTCCAAATGCATGACTCTTTCAGCAAGCCAAGACGATATACTGGTGCTCCATATGTTATCTGCACCACTTACAAGAACAGTTAGGGAAGCAGATAATTAACTGCAAACTCACATTGCAACCTGATAGCAGGAAATGCAAATTAACTCAAAACTCAAATCCATGCTTAAGAAAAGGTTTTTTGATTGAACTTGCAGAAGCTGAGTATAGTTACCAGAATATAGACTCCTTTATCCTTGAGGACCCTATAGTGTGTTATCAACTGCTTCAATATATGGTGAACGGATCAAGAAAACCCATAAAAGGAAAACAGTAATGTAAGACAATTCTAGTAACTTTCAAGGTTCATTATACCTCCAGACTTCCTCAAGCATTTGAGTAGCATTCTGACGCGAATTATTTCCACACTGCAGACAAAAATTTCCCACCATCTTATTATCAAAATCAGACCTCAACAAAGACAGAAGAGCTATAATTCAAAGCACTCACCAAGATAGAATCAAGAGTCCCTGCAACACCATGTCAAACGAAAATCAGTAAAAGGTTAAAGCCAACAATCATTAAATTAACAAAATAACAAAACAAAATGGCACCTTTATCAATAACTGCATCAAAGGAACCAGCTTGAAATGGACTCATATCTCGTGCATCCATTTTAATATCTGCATAATCATTAAAGAAATAACCACAAGAACATGTCTACAATACACGAAATCATTCTACAAGGATACATTTTAGCTGTTGACGGTTGGAGTACTTAGTTTGCATAGCTTCGATGACCACAGAGGATATATCAACATTGACGACATCCTCGTATCCATCGTTCACCATGTCTTCACTGAACACTGCAAAATGTGGAGTTTTGTTACATAAAAATGAAAGATCTGAAAAGGGTATGCATTAATTTGAGGAGTTGGTACCTGAGTTGCCGCAGCCGACAACGAGAATGCGTTGGTGGCGGTGGGGGACATAAAGGTGGACAAGGGGAGCTAAGGCAGGGTATTTTTGGTACCAATCAAAGGGAGCTGATTCGTGGGCGTAGCGGTTGTCCCAGTACCATGGCTCACCGTACGCTTGTGTTGGTGGTGTCCCCAGGGTCATCCTTTCTGCAAGTCTGTTTAAGCTGAGCCGTGATTTGTCGATGGCGTTGTAATTGGATTTGGATTTGGAGTTGCCAAATGTTAGTTTGGAGCTTCCAGAGTTGTTGAAATGATCAGGTTGTCGCTGGAACACGGTGGGGTTTTGTAGGGATTGGCCATGTTTATCATCACATCAACTACAATGTTTTACGAACACGTGTACTTCCCTTAATCACCTGATCTATTTCGTTTTTGTCTGTTAGAACTTAGAGCTTAAAGTCATTCATTGATTGTCCTTAAACTAACTGACAGTCATGTGGACAGCAGGCTTTAGTTTTACCGTGCTCTTGTCTTGTATCATGTTAAAAAAGTGTTTTTCATTTCTTCTTCATTTTTTTTTCTAAACAAGGATATTCGACATGAATTCCAATCTTGTGTCAGAGTTGTTCAGCTTCAGCAGCATCAATCAACTCCAGGCAATCAGGCAAGAAGCATTGTGGTTTAGTTGCAACTGCTTGAATGCTAGGGATGTAGGAGGAAGACAGGATAAACCAGAGAAAACGACTGAGCATTTAATTTAGGCTTTGACCTACTCAGATGTACAACATACAATGACCGCTTAAAAACGAAAATCATATGACTCTGTTTTATAATCTTTTATGAAGTAAGCCCAAAGAAACAAAAAGATAGGTAAGCCTAGACATGATCATTAGATAAATTCCGAAAACAACGTAAGTTTAAGGCCTGAAGAGTAATGGAGAGGGCCCAAGGAGCACAAGGACAGGATAGGACAAACCCAACCCAGCAAATTGAAACAGACCAAGACTCTCCCATTAACACATGTAAAAATCATTTCTTTTATCTAGGTTTTTCTCTTTCTTTCTCCTACAAATATTCATATATATATATATAAGAAATGGACACTAAATATAAGAAAGCAATGAAATTAGAAATGGACACTAAATAAGAGACAACTAAAGAGTCAAGAAATAAATGGAATAAAAAATTAGAAAATCTTTTATTCATTCAACAACCTGCTAGAGCAAGTTCTTACATTCGTCCTTACCTAACCTAACAAGCCAGCTCCTACTAAATCAGAACATAAATAAGAAACAACAACAAGACATAAAAATTAATTGCTGCAAAAAAAAAAAAGAAAAAGAAATCAAATTAATAACTTTTAACATTGAAATATCAACTAGGGGAATACATAATACATTTTTGCATGACATGTTTCTTTAATCTAATCAATTGGGTTGGGGCCTCGATGCTAACTCGTGGTCATACGGCAATGACACACTTCCTCTTGATCCGAAGTTGGAGTGTTTGTGACGTGTTGTAAGTAATACGTGCAAGGATCTGTTTTCTCAAGGATTTGCAGGAAGTGCAATTGAAGTTATAGGTCAAAGGAAGAGTAGAACAATCAGGGTTGAAGTTTCATCAAATTAATCATTGGTAAAAGTAGGAGATTAATATTATTATGGAAATGAAAAAAAAAAAATTGAAATTGCAAAGATATTCTTGATTTGAAAAAGCAGTATGCTACATTGACTTAGCTGATGCATGTTATTCAGTTATGGTGCTTGGCTGATGCATGTTTCTATGTTATATTGAAGGACAGGGGAAAGGAGAAATTGGAAAAGAAAGGTGATAAGAAAAAAAGAAGCCGACCTGACCCAGTGGACTCAACTAAAAAGGGTTAATGAATACAAAAATGGAACAGAAGAAGAGTACAAAAAGAAAAAGAAAAATTGGAAAAACAACTAAAAGGTTAAAAGAAAGCTATATTTGGCAAGCAAGCAAGCAAGCCTGTCCCAAGCCTTGTTTGGAAAAGGTTAATGAATATATGGTTGGTGTCCTTTACCGGTGAAACTCTTGAAAGCAAGCAAGCAAGCCTGTACCAAGCTGGTCTGTTTACAAATTGGATGTTAGCTCTTTTGCACCAATCTGCTCTTATTGAATCCCTTGCTATTGAAGAAGATCAAAGTCTTTTGAAATGACCTAGTAGCCTCCGTCACACCATTGTCAGTCTTATATCTCTTATGACAACCCTCCACATTAGTGAAGATGTGAGTTTATTTTGATGCCAAATGTTCATGGGTCAGAACTTAAACCCAATCCTATATAATCTTAAACTCTAAAAATAGAATTTAATTAAGTTTATAAATTATGAACTTACGTTCTCAACTTAAAAGATATGTTTAAAAGGTGAAGGAAGACTTATGTTTATGCATTCAAAACTCATTTTGTTTCTTACTATGTGGGATCCATGTTTATCTATGGTAGCCGATATTTCCAATTCACTTAATTTCCAAATTTATATATATATATATAAAGAAAAAAACCTTAGCCTTATATTTACACATTTGGAATTTGAATTTGGATACTTAATGGGCTTCACATTTTCGGTTTTGACCTCATCGGAGGATCCCTGTTTCATTAAAAGTGTGTTTGTTCATGAAATAGAATAGAGTGGGAATGAAATAGTTATTTTGTGAAAATATAACAAGAGAAAAATAATTATTATATAGTGTGGTTCATGGGAATTGAATATGATATGAATTTTTATTATGAATTATTTTAATGTTTGGTTGTTAAGAATAGTTTTAAAAATAGCGAAGGAATAAGCATTAAATGATAAGAATACTTTTTATTATATTTAATTTTTAAATTAAAATATTTATTATTT